CCCCCCTCCTCCCCCCATCGTTGTGCTGCCATCTCCCCTCCCCCTCTCGCCAAGACCATCCCTTGCGAGGCTCCCCATCACGGATGTCAACGCTCGCCCGGGCCGTCGGCCATCCCCTCTCGAGATCCCTTGCCGACACCGCCAGTCGGCCTCTGTCGCGGGCCTTTGCCACCACCGCCGCCACCACCGCCGCCACCGGCCATGGCACGGATGAGGCTCTGGCTGCCGCACGCGCTACCGTCAGCGACCATCACATGGAACATGCGCTTGGGGTCCTGACAGTGGGCGATGCCCGGCGCTTCCTCCAGTCCTCGCCCACCGAGAGTGATGGGTCTTCCAAGGCCGCGGCCGAGGCCCTCTCCCGGCGCCTGGCCCTTTTGCTGGCCTGCCATGAACGCGGCGCCCAGGCCGCGGCTCTGAACTTCTCCGTGGCCGATCGCACGGCCCAGGCAATTCGCGACCTGCTCGCCGGCTCCCGAGCTGATGGCCCCCTGGCTCATATTCCCTACACGCTGAAGGACAATTTCGCCACCAGCTCCACCACCAGCGCCACGTCGGCCGATGGAAGCACCTGGCTCGGCACCACGGCCGGGTCGCGCATGCTCGACCATTATCGAGCTCCCTTCGATGCCACGGTGGCCGAGCGCCTGCACAGGGCCGGGGCCACCCTGCTGGAGAAGGTGGCCCTCGACGAGTTTGGCATGGGATCTGCCGGGTTCTGGGCGGCCCAGGGCCCGGCCCTCCATCCCGCCCATGTGCTCAGCCTGGTCGACGGCCAGTATATGCCTGCCACCTCGGCGGCTCTGCCGCTGAAGCCCATGCGCCAGCACTTCTTCGCTCCTGGGGGCAGCTCCTCCGGCTCGGCTGTGTCCGTGAGCACTGGCGCGGCGCTCTTGTGCGTGGTTTGCCTCTTTCTTTTTCTCCCCCTCTCGTTGGGTGTCTCGGATGGCCGGCTGCTTCCCAGGCCCCATTGGGTCCCTTTTTACATGCAAGCGCGGCACTCCCTCCCTTAGGCAGGCAGGCAGGCAGGCAGGAGGGGGACGCCATTCTTCAATACCCCCTTGCACCGGGCATTCACTGACCACCTACGCATGGCTTTGTGATCCTCTCCACCGCGGGTGCGATGTAGCTCCATCGGGACGGACACGGGCGGCTCGGTTCGCATGCCGGCGGCTTTCTGCGGTCTTTTCGGCTTCAAGGTACGCTCACCACTTTCAAAAGAGAAGGGAACGACGGACGGAGAGTGAGGCATGACCGCCCATGGGCGCCCCCTCGCTCGGGCTTGTCCCCTATTCTGACGGCCCCCCCCCCCCGCCATGACGATCAGCCTTCGCATGGGCGTCTCTCCCGCCATGGGCTTGTGTCGTACTCTTCGGGCCTCGACTGTCCGGGCATCCTGGCCCGGTCGATTGACGACGTGGCACTCATCTACCGTGCGTGCTCCCCGATGCTTGGTCTTTCGGCAAAGTGGGCCTGCTGTTGCTGACCCGTGTGTCCCCTCGCGCGTAGAGTCTCTCGCCGGGCGCGACCCCTCGGACACGCTGACCTGGCAATTTGCGAATGCGGCCGGGGGGGCCTCCTTGCTCACAGGCCCGGAGGCCTGGCGTCAGCGTGGCCTGCGCTTCGGGGTTCCGGATGTGCGTTTGCTCGATCGCTCCCTGGACGCGTGCTTTGCCCCTGCCAGCTGACTGTGTTCCCGCCGCCGTGTGCCAGGAATACCTCACCGATGAACTTTCACCGCAAGCGGCGGGTGCTCTGCAAACGGCCATCGACATCCTCTGTCGGGCGGCCGCCGCCACCGCCACCGCCACCGGGCTGGCTTCGGCTCCGGAGCCCGGGGCGATCCTTCCCACGGTCCCGGTGGCTGATGTGCTGCCAGTGTCGCTGCCGACCACGGCCGATGGCCTTTCCAGCTACTATGTCCTGGCGGCGGCCGGGGCATCCAGTGATTTGGCCCGCTTTGATGGGATCCGCTTTGGCTCCTCGGTGCCGGGCTCCGGCATTCCAGTGGACAATCGGTCGGCTTACCTTGGGCGGAATGTTCGCGCGCGCATCATGGCCGGCGTGGACTGTCTGTCATCCAGGTGCGCCGATGCTTGGCAATCCTTTGAATGGGGGGGGGGGGGGGCGGAGAACCCCTCGTATCGTCTTTTCGTCGAGAAATCATTCGCCCTCGGTGCATATCCCCTGCCTTCCCATCCTCACATCTACCGCCTGTTTGTTTCTGCTTTGGCCTATTTGTGGTCCGGCTCTCGGCACCGCTGCTCGGGCTTTCCTTCTTCCACTGCCTCCCGGGCCCCCGTCTTCTGCGCAGCAATTATGAGAAAACCTTCTCCGCGGCCAGTCGCATCCGCGAAGCCATTTCCCAGGAATTCGCGGCGGTCCTCTGTCCCAGCTCCGTGAGTCCGGCAGCTTTTGCAGACTTTGCCCCGGAAGCTGATCATCTCGTGCATGCTGCTCCCGCCGGCATGGCTGACGTGCTGCTTGTGCCGACCGTGCTCGGCGCCCCGCCGCGCATGATGTACATCCACCAGTCGGAGCGCGACTCGTCGCTGATGCCATCCCAGCACCTCCCGGGGGTCGGGTCTGTCTGCATGGGCCCGGATGAGGGTACCCCGGCGGAGGATGCATTCACTGTGCCGGCGAGCTTGGCCGGGCTGCCGGCATGCACGGTGCCCATTGGGACCGCGCGTTTCCCGGTCGACCGGCACCACCCGGAGGGCATGACCGTCGACCTGCCGGTCGGTGTGCAACTGATCGGTCGTCGGGGCGGTGAGGCGGCCGTTCTCGCTGCCGCAGCCACCCTCACTCGGGCCATCAACCTGTGAGGCTGGTAGATCCAACCGAACTGCCCTTTTTCTCTTTCTTTCTCCCGCTCCCTCCCTCTCTCTCTCTCCCTTTCCACTCCTTGGGCGCCAACAGCATATGATAGTTGTCACAAGGGGGACAGATAGGGAGAGGGGGAGGGGGGGGTGAGAGTCGCTACCCTTGCCATGTGGGACTTGAGGTCCATCCCCCATCGCTGCTCTTTCCCTCCCTCCACACAATAGAAAACTCACTTCCACTCATGTTCTGCTTCGGTTCCCTTGGGTTTGGTTTTGGCGGGATGGCCTCTTCGCCGTGCGTTGCCAAGCACACCGCCGGCATGCATGTCCCCTCCCCTGGGCCCTCGTTGAAAATGGCAGTGGCGGTCAAAAGGAAGGAGGAGAGGGAGAGGGAGAGGGAGGGGGGGGGAAGAGATAAAGGCCCCTTTCATTCAAGGAGGTACATGTCGTTGAGATAGACCAGGCTCGAGTGCGGCCAGTACAGCCAGCGCCGGAACCAGTTCCACTGGGATGCATGCATGCGCATGGCCGCTTGGGCGGTTGCCTCGCCGACGCAGGTAAGTTCAAAGCGGAAGGGCCCGGCTGGAAGGCAGGACAGAGCCCCGGCCGATGGGAGAGCAGGCCGGGGAGGCGGCAGCCACGATGACAGCGCTGGCGGCAGGTACTTGGCCAAGAGCGACGGGCTGGCCAGCAGAAGGACCGGCGTGTGGGTGACTCGCCCCGAGTGGGACACCTCGCCACGCCGTGCAGCCAACAGTGCTTGGGGGATGGCCGCGTGGTTCCGGTGCCCGCTAATGCCATGCTCGTCGAAGGTGATGATCTGGCCGAGAAGAAGAAGAAGAAGAAGAAGGGAGTGGCGGGAAATGGATCAGCATGCTGGCTGGCGAGCTCTACCCCGACGGATGGCCATCCGCACGCACCAGATCGATGTCGCGCGTGGCGGCGAAGGTGTCAATGGCCTGCAGCACATCGGCCGGCTGCCAGTCGACCAGTTGGCCATCTTGCAGAGCTCTGCATCGGGAAAGACCCCCCCCCCCCGGCGTGGATGGGAGTGCGCGGCAGAGGACCTGGCGTTAGAACCGACATGGAAAGCCACCGGGCGAGTGGGCGAACGGCGATGCGAGAGGGGGACAGCCTCGGAGGGGGAGCGGCAAGAGGGCGATGGTCGACGCACGGGACATCCAGTACATGAACCAACTCGGCTGCGACACCCAGACGCTCGCAGGCTTGGAGCATTTCCCGGGTACGCGTTGGGCCAAGTCCATCCGCGTTGCCGGATGACAGGCAGAGGATGGCCATCTCGAAGGCCGGAAGGAGGTTCAGCAATGTCGGGGCAAAGAACATGCACTCATCATCCGGATGGGCCACCACCAGCAGGGCCAAGGGGAGGACTCGCCCGGTGTCGGGAGGTGCAGCGGCCTGGCGGTCGGCCACCCGCCGACGCAAGCGCAAGGCTGTCTCGCTGCTGCGGGAGAGGATGTTGATAACTCGCCGGTTGCCGGTCGGCAGGTTGATGGTCCGCGGGCCACCGGGATCAGATCGGTCGCTCGGCACACATCGGTGATGCCAGTGCGGCGACCCAGCCCGGGCGGGAAAGACACAGAAGTATCCCTGGCGCCGAGACCAGCTACCAGCACCCACAAGCACCACAGCAAGCGCCAGCACCCAACCCAAAGTCCATGAGCTTAGCATCTTGCACCTGAGGCAGGGCAGTCGGCGCGGAACAGCGAGTAAGAGGAGGGGGAGAGAGAAGGAGCTCGGGAAACAGACAAAGAGGAAAAAGGGGGCAGCTAGGAGCGAGGGAGCGAGGGAGGGAGGCAGGGAGAGGAAGAGATCCGTGGCCAGCCCCGGAGGAACCTCGAGAGGAACGCTTTGGCCCAGGGCATGCCCTTTTTGTGTCTCCCCCTCAAGCTTGATCTTCCGCCCCCCCCCCCCCCCCCCCGTCTGTCCCGAGACGACGGAACTCCACGACCACCCCCAGTCCACAACAGTGACCAGCCCTGGTCCCCAAGGCTCAGGCCCAAGGTGGATCAACGGGGGGAAATCCGGGCGCGCACGACACACGGCAGTAGACGCCAGAGTGAGATGCGGGGATAGATGGCCAAAATAATAACGTGTGGATACCCAGAATCGAACTGGGGCCGAGTGGGCCACAACCACTTATACTAACCACTATACGATATCCACCACTCTGGAACAGGGTCTCCGCCCGTCGGCTGATAAAACGACACCATCAGGTCACCATGGACGCACAAAAGATAGTTGGGACCAGTGAGGCTCGAACTCACGACCTTGGGGTTATGAATCCCACGCTACTACCGACTGAGCTATGATGGTATTCCGCTCCTTCAATTGGCACATGACCGTGCGGTGGGATTCGCGCCCAGGCCCCTTGCCCACGGATGTTTGGTGACATTCCCCCGGCGACTGCGGCCAGGGTGTGGGGGCATGGGGGACGGGCGTGGGGGGGGGGGGGGGGGGGGGGGGGGGGGGGGGGGGGGGGGGGGGGGGGGCCAAAGCCAATTCGGCCGGAGGGAGAACGGTCAGGCAAAGTGGCAAACCGAGGCGCGCGGCCCTCCCCAGAGGAGCATCTACGCGCGGCGATGATTGACAACGCGCCAGCCACCGGAATTCCGATTCCCGGACACAGGCACACACCGGTCCGCCGGGGAAGGGAGGCAGGGCAAGGGGAGGGGAAACCACTGCGGGTGCCGGCCCCTTGCCAAGGCCTCTTGATAGGGGCCTGATGTCGGGCGTCAGGCAGGTTACCCGGCATGCAACCCCCTCCTCCCCACTCTCCCCACTCTCCCCCGGGCCTCACCCTCCCCCCCCCCCTCCCTCTTTCCTCCTCCCTCCCCCCTTCTCTGCTGCTCCTCTCCCTAACCCGCCTTGCCAGATGTCGACGAAGACGTCTCCGATGGTGAAGTCCACCGGCGCGGGCCTATCGCCGGATGAAAATATCTGGCAGGCTCTACTGGAGGATGTGACTGCCGCGCGCGCCGTCGAGACTCGCAACATCCTGGTTCTCGGTCCGTGATGCCCCCCTGTGCCCTGCCCCTTTTCCTTTTCTCCCCCTTTTCCCCCTGCCCCCCGGGCTGCCCTCCGGCCTCCCCCGCCCGCTGACCCCGCGCCGACACACTGCACAGGCGATCGCAAGGCCGGTAAATCCACCTTCCTCCGGAACTTGGCCCTCGCATGTCAGGGGACAGTCAAGCACCCGCGCGATGCGCTGATCTCGGCCGACTCCAGCGAGCTGGCCCTTTCTTACCACTACATCAACGTCCGCGAGGAGAACGGCGATGGTGCGTCCCTTCCCCCCCCCCCCTCTTCCAGAAGCCGGGAGGGGGGGACTTCCCAATGGTGCATGCCCACTCGGTTTCTCACCCTGCTGCCGGCCCCCTGCCCCTCTCCCTGGTCCCTTTTGCAGACGTCGTCGGGCGCTTGGGCGTCTGGCAGCTTGAAGGGGCTACCTCCTTCGGGCCGCTGCTGCGCTTCGCTCTGACCCGAGATATGGTCGAGCGCACGGCCATCGTCATTGCTTTGGACATGTCGTCTCCGGCCACGCTGGAGAGCGCTCTCCAACAGTGGCTGGATTTGCTGACCACCACGGTCCAGGAGCTCGGCCTGCCGAAGGACACCATTGGCAGCCCCGCCTCCCGGGCATCGCTCATGGTGGTGGTTCTCAAAGCCGACGCCATTGCTGGCTTCATTCAGCGCCGTGAGCTCCGCCAGGCTGAGTTTGACTTCATTCAGCAGCGCTTGCGTCTGCTGTGTCTGAAATGTACGCCGGGAGTGTCCTGCCCCCTTTTGCTCGTCCCCTCTGCTCACCTCCTCGGTTGTGGCATTTCTTCCTCCTTGATCATACTGCTGATGCTCCCTCCTCTGCCCGCTCCTTGTCTTCTTCCTCTCCTTCTTCCTCTCCTTCTTCCTCTCCTTCTTCCTCTTCTTCTTCTCCTTCTTCTCTCGCTTCGCCACTGGCGCGCGCACGTACACCCGACCATGCCAACGCCATGCCCGCCCGCTCCCCTCCCCCCTTTAGTTGGTGCTTCTCTGGTCTATGTCTCGTCGGCGCAGCAATCCAATCTGGCTCTCTTCAAGCACTCGGTTTTGAGTAAGCTGTTTGGGTCGACCGGGGCCGAGGCCTCGGCGGCTGCGGCGGCCGTCCTGGCCGACACCCCTGCCGCCCCGTCCGAAGACGGCGTGGCCCTCACCCTCGCCAGCCACGGTCTGACGGCCGGGTCCTTCCTGCCGGTGAACTTCGGCGTGCCGACCAGCTCTCTGGAGCTCATTTCCATGCCGAATTTGTCGCGCGATACGGTGTACATCCCGGCCGGCTGGGACTCCGCCGCCAAGATCGCCCTCCTGAGCGAGGGCCTGGACCCGAAGCACCCGGCCGCCAACTATCAGGAAGCGGACTTTGCCCAGGTGGTCGGGCATGTCAAGGGCCCGGGCGGGGTGGCCGTCGGGCCCTTGGCCGCCGGGAGCGCCAGCGCCCTGGACCCGGCCGATGTGCCGCTCGACATTGACATTCCCTCGACGCAGGAATTTTATGCCTTCCTTTCGAACCAAGTCCCAGCCCCCTCGGCCAATGTGGTGGACTTCTCGCACCCCGGCAGCCAGGGACCCGACGGCGGGGCAGACGTGGCGGACCCGCTTGCCGGGGGGTTTGCCAGTCCGGCACGCCCGTCCCATGTCTCCCCCTCGGCCATGCTGGCGGCCACGCCCGGCGCCGACCCCCTGGTCGGGGATGCCGCGGCTGCGGACGAAATGGCCAACCCGGATGGTGCCCGGTCTCCGGGGATCCGCCGGCCCGCGCCGCCGCGGTCCACCACCGACCCCGCCAGCCCGGCCCCGGACTCCACCTTCTCCGGATCCGTACGTGTCCATTCCCACCGCACATGCCTGCCGACTTGGGGCTGTGTTTGGGCTTTCCCATTTCTCCGCAGCTTGCCTGTCTCTCCCACGCCGGTGTGCATTCATCGTACACATTGCACACATCTCACACCACGTCATGCCACGCCCCCATCCCAACGCCCATACAGCAGGCCGCCAGCCCTCTGTCAAACAAGAACCTCGGCAACTTCTTCAAGGGTCTCCTCAACACCTCGACCTCCGGGAACAAGCCCTTTGGTCGGTGAGCCGGCGCACAGCCGTGCGCGATGTCGGCCTGGACACCTCAGATGTCGACCGGAGTCTTCTTCTTTTTTTTTTTTTTTGCTCCGCTTGCGCCCTGTATCATCCTCTCCTCCCGCCCTGGGGGGGCCTCCCCGGCCAAAGGTTGGGAATATATACACACGCCAAGTGCCCCTGCCCGGTGTCTCGACAAGCGCACATTCAGGCAACCGCCTGGCGGATGCAAATGGAGGCTCGTGTCTGAGTGTGGATATTTGTGCCCAAGCAAGTTGCATGGATGCTGGGAGGGAGAAGGGCAGAGCCATGGGGGAGAGGGGGGAGGGGGGGGGGGGGGCATCAATCAAAGGGAATGATAATGTCACTGATGCTGAGGTCATTTCCCCCGGAGGCGGCGGCCGCCGCGTGCACCGATGGGACACGGTGATAGCAACAGATGTTGTCCGGGTCGTGGTAGTGGTCCGGGCCGGTCTCGGTTTCCTCCGGGGTCCGGAGGGGGACTTGACGGACCTGGCCATCGGGCCCAAGGATCTGCGCCATCACCTGGCCATCGGGGAGGCCGAAGCGCTCGGCATTCTCGGCCAGCGTGGCCCGGGCCTCGGCCACCTCGCGCGCGCGCTGCTCATCCACCTGCTGGGCGTTGGGGAATTGCAAGAGCGTGCCGAAGAGGAAGTGCTGCACAACCGGCAACTTGCCAAGCACCTCGGCCTTGTACATCTTCACCATGCCGGAGGCCACCTTCGACCAGTACGGCACCCCGGCAATGTCATTCAACATGGGCGAGTGCCATTGAAGGGACTCGGTCTTGATCTGAGGACGGACAAGTGGCCGAAGGTAGGGGGGGGGGGGGGGATACAAGGAAAAGGGCTCAGGACGCACGCTATTGATGTAATGGATGGCATCCAGGTAGAGGTACTCGCGGTGGTTGTCGCGAACCAAATCATTGTCAATGATGCAGATTGGCCGGAAGGACGGGTGACCTGGCAGGAAAGAAGAGAAACCCAAATAGCCAAGCAAAGCCGTTAGCCACGGGAAGGTGAGACGCATGTGTCTGCGTGTGTGTGTGTGTGTGTGTGTGTGTGCGTGTGTGTGCGTTTGCGTGTGTCTGCATGCATGTGCGTGTGCGTGGCACCCGGGGGCAGAAGGCGGCGCGACGCGAAGGGAGTTGCCTGGCACGCACCATCAAGCTGAGCCGCGCCAAAGACAAAGGGCAAAAACTGATAGTCATCCAGACCCCAGATCCCGTGCGAGCCGGCGGGCTCGAGCCAATAGGTGGACTGCAGCTGGCGCATCAGAAGGATGTACCTTCGGAGGTTGTACCAAGGGAGGCGCGAACACCAGTCAGCGAGGCAAAGGAAAGAACGGAAGAATTGGGACCAGACGCACGAGTAAAACACGCGGAAGACCACGGCGCGGTCATCCTCCGGGCCAAGGACACCGATCTTGTCCAGGCAGAGACTACAGAAGCGGGGCGGGTTAGGGGGGGGGGGGCAGCGGATGCGAAAGGCAGCGAGAGAGCGGGGGAAGGAGGGGCAAGGGAGGAGGACACACAGCCAGAGGAGGAAATTAAGCTCATGCCCAGTGCCATAGTCCAGGCGGTCACGGTGACCGAAGCTGTGAGCCAGGTAGCTGTTCACCTCCTTGAGGGCGGGCTGGAGCATGAGGGAGAGAGAGAGAGGCAGAAGCAGAGGCAGAGGGAGAGAGGCAGGGGGGAGCAGGTGTCAGAAGACAGACGAGAACGCCCGGCGGGAAACGTGCACATCGGAAAGACGCACGCGAGGGGTGAATTCCGGGGTAATCTCGGCGATTTTCTGCAACCCCCAAGAACCGCGCAAGGGGGAGGAATGCCCGAGGAGGGGGAGGGAGGCAGGTCAGCGGAGGCGCACAGGCCAAAAGGGGCCGGGAGGGGCCAGGAGCAGGGGGGGAGGTGCGAGGGACAGGACCACCTACCTTCTCCATGAGGGAGTGCCATGTCCGGAAGGCCTCATTACCAAAGCGCGACCCCTCGGCGTCGATGGTCGGCGTATCGAAGACCAGCTGCTGCAGGGCCTTCAGAAGCCCGACAAGTTGGCGGATGATCTGGGACGAGGGGCACCCCGGGGGAGGTTAGCGTGGTGGGGCGGCGCGCCGGGAAAGGCAGGAAGATGCCCGCACGAACGACAACGCACCGGACGCATGGGGCCCACATCGCTACAGGGAACGCCTCGAACAGCGTCCGCCAGGCGAGCCACGTACTGGGTGATGTCCCGGTGGGCGGGGCTCCGCTCGAAGGCAGTCACATCCTCCTTGACGCGGATGTACTTGCGCGGCGGGCGGAACTCATGCTGCTCCGGGTCAATGGTACCCGGGCGGGTGGCAGGGGGGGTTGTAGACATGGCTCTGTTGGGGAAAGGCCGGGAGGGGGAGAGAGGAGGGGGAGAGAAGGGGAGCAGACAGGATCAGGACTT